CTATGCCATCTGTGACTTAGAATGCCCTCATCGTCTGGGAATGCAGCCCAGTAGGTCTCAGCCTTATTTCACCCAGCTCCTACTCAAGATGGAGTGGCCCAGGTTCAAACGCCCCTGACATAAGTACTGACTGTTCCAAAGCACCTTCTGCTTCCCTACTTGTCTTCCTCCCATGATGGGGAGCTCACTACTCATTACCTCCCCAGCAGTAACATCTGTAACAAAGTCCTCCCTCAGCCTGGGGGAGATCTGCCCTGGTGCTCACTGCAACACACACACACACACACACACACATCCCTCTGAAACCAGAGAAGGGGGCTGCTGTCAGCATGGGGCAGCTGGAACATTCTAACATCTCTTCCCAGGCTGGATGGCCAATTCTGCAGCACTCAGCCCCGGGCCTGGATGTCCTGGGGACGAAGCTGTCGCTCGCCTTCAGCCAGGAAGACAAGGAGGGCGCGGTGCAACAGGTGTACCCCCAAACGCCGGCGACGAGCAGGTGGCCAGCCTGCCACCACTCCATAGCAGTGCCCTTGTTTCTGGTTGGTGAGCGTCTGGATCCCTGGAGAAATTGGATGTGGGGTGAGAGGGGCAGCCATAGGGACCCCTCCCCATCCAGCAGAAGTGTGTGACAGCAGTCTGGGTGTAGTGGCTCACACCTGTAATCCCAACACTTTGGGAGGCTGAGGCGGGTAGATCGAATGAGGCCAGGAGCCTGGCCGACATGGTGAAACCCTGTCTCTACTAAAAATACAAAAATTAGCTTGGCGTAGTATAGTGGTATGTGTCTATAATCCTTGGGAGGATGAGGCGCAAGAATCACTTGAGCCTGGGAGGCAGAGGCTGCAGTGAGTCAGGATCATGCCACTGCACTCCAGCCTAGGCAACAGAGTCTCACACACACACAAAAAAGTATGTGACAGCAACCAGGCGCGGTGGCTTATGCCTGTAATCCTAGCACTTTGGGAGGCTGAGGCAGCCGGATTACCTGAGGATAGGAATGCGAAATCAGCCTGGCTAACGTGGAGAAACCCCGTCTCTACTAAAAATACAAAAATTAGCCAGGCATGGTGGTGCATGCCTGTAATCCCAGCTACTCGGGAGGCTGAGATAAGAATCACTTGAACCCAGGAAGCAGAGGTTGCAGTGAGCCAAGATCGTGCCACTGCACCTCAGCCTGGGTGACAGAGACGAGACTCCATCTCAAAAAACAAAACAAAACAAAACAAAAAACGCATGTGACAGCAAACCCAATGTGTATTGCCCCTGAGTAGGGATAAACCCATGGAGTAAAATACATGCAAGTGCAGGTATAAAGTTGGTGCTCAATAATTGCTCAGTCAACAAATGAACACCCCTCAGAAGGAAAAATGCCCTCATATGACCCCCATCCTATGCACCAGGTACCCACCTAGGGCTTCCACAATACACGCCTCCCGTGTATAAGCCTCCACAGCGACCACGTGCTGGAAGCAATGCAGGGAGACGACGCCGCAGCCACTGGCCCAGATGTCCAAGATGTGACGCACCTTGGGGCAGGCCTGGGGGGGGCCAGGGCAGAGTCAGGGGTCAGCCCCCCGATCCCCTCCATGCTCTACCTGCCCGTGGCCTGAATGCCATTGCTGGACCCTGATCCTTGTCCTCACACCTGTTTTCTTGTCCGCCCATGGTGACCGAGGGCCTCCCAGAGGTGGATATACGGCCGGGCCCTTGTCCCCTTGCCCACGTAGAAGATGGCACGGACGAAGGTCTGAAGGCGCTCAGCTGGGGTCAGTGAGAAGGCTCGCGCTGGCAGATCCTGAGTCTCCCTGGATGTGGGGGGTGTCTCAGACAGGGGAAAGTGGACAGAGTGGTCCCCAATGACAGTCCTTAAAATCACAACATGGCTAGGCGTGGTGGCTCACCCCTATACCCCCAGGCCGAGGCAGGTGGATCACAATGTCAGGAGTTCAAGACCAGCCTGGCAAACATGGTGAAACTCAACTAAATTTACTAAAATTATTTTTTAAAATTAGCCAGGCATGGTGGCATATGCCTGTAATCCCAACTACTTGGGAGGCTGAGTCACAAGAATTGCTTGAACCCAGGAGG